AGACGTTTAACTTTTACTGGGTTTATGGTTTTTTTTGTTTTAAAGGGGGATATTTTTCAAAAGGCGCTGTGGGAACAGCGCAGCGAAGGCCTGGCTGGTGCCGGCGGGTGAGCCGGGCCCCCCAGGCCCTGAGATGGCACCATGGGGCCAGGCGAGGCCCACCAGGTCGGCCCTGAGGCGAGGGCAGCGCCGTGCAAGCCTGGCCCCCCGGCTTCACCCTGCCTCCCCCAGCCCCGGGACGTGCCTTCCCGACGCCATCCATCCCCAATCCTTGGGGTGGGCCCGGGTGGGCGGCCGGCCGTGGGGGGGCGGGAGGTCCCTGCCAGAGGTGGCGGGGAGAGGTCAGGCGCCATGTTGCCATCGCTGCCTGACCTGTGACTGAATTGGAGGTTTCAGCTGATTTGGAGGTTTCAGCTGCCCCTCCGGTGGCTGAAACCTCCAAATGTCCGGCTGGGGGGTGCGCTTCTCTTGGAGAAGCGTGTTGTTTCTTGATGTAATATGAAGTCGGGAAAAGAAATTGCAAATGGATGAAATGTCCACAATGAAAACTTTGGTTAACTGAGGTGGGATTGTTGAGAAAATAAAGGAATGATGCCATACCTAAAGGGCAGAACAGAGGATTGTAGTTAGACTATTATAATACCATTATAAATGGTTGGCGAATGTCTACCTGCAACGTTGTTCTTGCCCCTGCTTATTGTATCTTAAGAGGCTGTTAACGGACATGAATCACGACAGAGGCTGTAACAATGCTCAGTGAAGGATTGGCTCACACTGCAAAGATGAAAAAATTAGGATCACCTTTCAAAACAAGAGGGTACGTGAGGAAGTTATAAAATAATAAATGGTATAAAGAAGGCAAGATTGGCCTTTCCTTACCCTCTCGTGTAGTCAAAGAACTAGAGGACATGATATAACTGCAAAGCAATGTATGTGAAGTAGTTAGGAAAAAATGTTTGTGCCGTGTACAATTAACCTATGAAATTCATTATAAGAAGCTTGATGATACAAGAAGAACCAAACAGTTAGCCAGTTACTGCCAGCCAGCCACTATCTCGCCCTAGTTTCTAATCCCGACATTTACAGCTCTTTGCTTTTCATTCCCAGGGATCCAGTTCAGCTTTGGCTATGCACATAAATCTTGATGTAACGTAATTCTTCTCCATGCTTTTTGACAGGTTTAGCCCTCCAGAGGTAGTTTAGGGAAAGAGTAAAGTCAAAAACATGAAACGTTCCCATGGATGATGGTAATTCTGGGAGTTTTAGGTTTAATGACAAGTCAGGAATATTTACCTTCATTTTCTCCCATGTTTTCTAAGAATAGCTCTTCAGGGATCTGAGAGAAATGCTCCAAGTGGATGAGAAAGCATGGATGTCTTTCTGTTTTACATTGCTGGTTTTAGCAAGAATGGTGCATGGCTTGTTCTTGAAATCATTCGCTTAGGAGACTTGTTAATAGATTTGTTTACAGTGTGTGGG